ATTTTGTTTATTTTATTTTTTAATTTAATTTTTGAATTTATTTTTAATTATATTTAATTTTGGTTATTTTTTTTTTAATATTTTTATTTTTATTTTTAAAAAATTTTTATTTTAAATTATTTAAATTTATTTTAATTTATATTTTAATTGTATTTTTATTTATATGGATTATATAATTTATTTTATTTTTTTAATCTAATTTTTTTAATTTATTTTTTATTTGTATTTAATTTTATTTATTTTATTTTATTTTTTAATTTAATTTTTGACCTTATTTTTTAGAATACTACTAACTATAACTAGTGATGACTATTACCAGAGTGTCTATATCTTAAAAACATACTAAATAAAAGTATCAAGTATTCCAAGTAAAAATGTTCAAGACCTCCAAAAATCTTATAAAAACTAAATCCAGAATTTTATATTAGCTCTATATTATATTATATAAAAAAAAATAATTCTTAATATCACACCCTAACTTTAAAAATATCTAGGGATGGTGATTATCACTGCTAGTGATTTGTCGTAAAAATCTTTTTAATTATATTTAATTTTAGTTAATTTATTTTACTTTTTAATTTAATTAGTTTAAATTATTTAATTGTATTTTAACTTAGCTTAATTTATTTTACTTTTTTAATTTAATTTTTTAATTTATTTATTAATTGTATTTAATTTTGTTTATTTTATTTCTTAATTTAATTTTTAAAATTTATTTGATTTTTTTTAACATATTTTAATTTATATTTTATTATATTTTAATTTAGTTTATTTTGTTTTTAATTTAGTTTAATTTATTTTATTTTTTTAATTTTGGTTAATTTATTTACTTTTTAATTTAATTATTTTAAATTATTTAATTTTATTTGATTTATTTTTTAATTATTTTTTGATTTAGTTTAATTTAGTTTAATTTTTTTTATTTTTTAATTTAATTTAAATTTATTTTTTAATTGTATTTTTTATTTTGTTAATTGTATTTTAAATTATTTTAAATTATTTTAAATTTTTTTTAACTTATTTTACTTTATTTTTAATCATATTTCAATTTGATTTAACTTTATTTTTAGATTTTTGCTACAAATTACTAGCAGTGATCATTACTACTTCTAGATATTTTTAGAGCTAGGGTACAGTATTAGAAATTATTTTTTATTTATATAATATAATATAGAGCTAATATAAAGTTTTGAATTTAGTTTTTATAAAGTTTTTATGAGTTCTAAACATTTTTACTTAGGATACCCAATTCTATTTACTTAGTATATTTTTGAGATATAGGCATCACAGTGATTGGTACTGCTAGTTATAGTTAGTATCTTATTTTTAATCATATTTTAATTTGATTTAATTTATTTTTATATGTTTTTTTTTAATTTTTTTTTATTTTTTTTTAAATTTTTTAATTTTTTTTAATTTTTTTTTAAATTTTTTTTTTAATTTTTTTTTAATTTTTTTAATTTTTTTAATTTTTTTTTAATTTTTTTTTTGAAAATTTTTAATTTATACCACAGGTGATTATTATCTATATACAAATAAATAAATATATATATACAAAAATATATAAACAAATATACATATTTTGTTATACTAAATATTTGTATATATATATACATATTATATACTCTAGATAATAAACAATCACGTAATATAATTAAATCACATAGTCATATAAAATTTTGATATACATATCTGATATCTAATATTTGGTACATACGTATGTACTATAAATACTAATGACTTTGTAAAAGATGATCGTACTAGTACCTTATAATTATGCAGTACGTAGAAATTATAACTATATATACTTAAGTATATACATATGTACATATGTACATATATACAGTATATATATATATACTATATTTTAAACGTATACGTATCATACAAACATTGTTTTAAATTCCATCCTACAATTTCAAACTATATATGCGGTGATAATATCGTAGCGATTTTCTATATAAATTTTCTACCAAAAAAACTGAATAGTTAATAATAATGTAAACCTTCCTTCTATTGAGAATTTCTAGAGGTAAAACTCAATAAATTCTATCAGACTTTTTGATTCTAGCACTATATTAGATGACAAGAAAGTCCTAAATCTGCAATATATATGTTATGAAATAATGTCTTACAAGATATTAACACTATGTAAATTTAAATAAATACTTCTTGTAAATAAACCAAGATTACTATACTATATATTTTATTAACCAAAATGTTGTAATGAATATTAATATCATCTATTTATACCTGACTCTAATGCAAACTTTATCAAATATCTTTTATTTGTATTATGTTGAAATTTTGGTTGTAGCACAACAAAAATAATTTAGTTGTTGAAATAATTAGATAATTGGTGTTAACTATATATAAGGAATCAACTAAGAATAAAGCTTTATGAAATTATGATCTAAAAGTTAAATATAAGTAATCATTTATAAAGTTCTTAAACCATATTGCAGAATAGAACACTTATCTAAATATAGTTGAATGGCCTTCTTTAATATAATGAACTTTCAATTATTAATTATTTACTATCACATGTATATAGACACAATGAAGCATGTCTTGAATATATGACAGGTTAATCAACAAAATTAAAAAAAATCAAAATTTTGCCTATGAAACCACTCTTAGTGCTTTAAGAAAAAGGATTCTACTCATAATTTTGGTCCTCCCAATAATCCTAACATTTAAAATCCATTTAATATAGGCCAATTAGCATAACCTGTTACACATCTAAGTCTTGTCATAATGAACATTAATTAGATAATAAGCGCTACCAAAATAAATAAACTTTACCATAAATCACATTAAAAACAACAATTAGTAGCAATAACAAATTATGAAGCAGTTATATCAAACAAATTCAATTCAATAATACATCATCAGCAAACAAATTAGTAGCAAAATATATTGAAACTACATAATATTACATAACAAATGCTATATAATTAATTTGCATCGCAAGTTCGAACATTATGTCCATAATTCCCACAGTTGGTGTATTTATTTTTTTTTTTTTCTTGTACATAATTTTTAACTAGAATTCTGTTGTTTGAATCATGTAAATTATGACAAGTGTTTGTAATGTTTTCCAACACATCTTTAAGCCTCTTAGGTGTTCGTTCACAGTGTTTTGTCACAAACGGGTTTGTAACAACAGGCTGAGGTTCAATAATAGGTTCTGATTCAACTCTATTATTATCATCATTGTTCTCTTTTAAGCATTATAACTCACATGTCTTAGATGAAATAAAATCTTCTATCATACTAAAAAATTTCTCATCACATTTAAGCTATATCATTAAGTTTAATGTATTTTTTAATATTCCATGCCCTCTAGACTATCACATTTTTTCACTTACAGATTTTTTCAGCGCAGGAGTAAATACATTAGCAACGCGAAAGTGAGATAAATATTGAAAATCAATTGTATGATGAGTGCTATCAGAAGTTAAAGGCTGATTAGAATTGCACAATTTAATAGAAAGAATCAAAGAGATGAGATTCTTCTCTTCATTTATTTTACTATTTTTATACCAATAGCTTGAAATCAAAGAAATGTAAAACCTAGCAACATTCGATTTCATTAATACTTTTATGAAGTGGCAGCAGATGATCTCTTTACTGATTAATGTAAGTAGAGATTCAATCCGGACAAATCCATCATCCATTTATCCATATCTGAGTTATCCGGATAATTCCAGATAGGCCAAATATCTGGATAATCTAGATAATCTAACGGATATTCGGATAATTATCCAGATATCAATAGTAAATGGATATCTGGATAAATTTTGGATGGATGTGGATAGCGGATATCCGGATAACGGATAATGGATTGAAACTCTAAATGTAAGGCAAGTATATAGATGCGTCTCATCCTTAAAAATTATTATATGATAGGTAAAGTGACCTGGAAACGATCTCTGTAGTGTAACGATCCAAATCTGGTCAACTTCATCATACTGTAAAGAGTATAATAATGATCTGAGACCTGTTTGACATCTTTCATAGTCATCTTCCAGACAACTATTCTCCAAAATATCTTCTGGTTCTAGTAGAAAATTATCCCAATTATAAGATATTTCAGTAGCATCATATAAAAAGCTTTCAGAAAGTTGTTGGCATTGAAGAGAGAGAACATGCAGAGTCAAGTACTCCTTAATTAAAGAATTAATATTATGAAAATATTAACTTGCAACATAGAGTAGGCCTATAGATGGATTTATATTCCTTTGCCCATTTATCTATGTATATTTGCTTTTTCATTTAGGCAATTTTGTATAAAATCAATCAGGTGCAACAACGTCGAACTATGTAAAACCTTCTTTTTGATAATTCTATTTATATCTTCTATATACTTAATTCTTTGTATACCAGCTGTGAACTGTGCTTGCGTATAGCATATCACCTAGCTATAATATGTAGAATAAAGCATTTCAAGTACATATCAGGATGCTTTAGGAAATGGCTTAAGAAATTCTACAAAATACATCCAATGACACTCAAAGTCAATTTCAAACAAGCTATTATAAGACCAATAAAAAAGCTTATAACACTTATCAAAATATTTGCCTTTAATTTCTTAATAAAATTGTTATTTAAATGAAAGATATAGTAAGAATGATGTGTATTAGGCCATACGTTTCGTATAGCTGCACCTATAGCCGGATCAACATCTGTATAGATTTAGGAACAATTTGATTATTTGCACTGTTTAACTGCTTTAAAACTTTAAATAATACAGTAATATTATTAAAATAAGTATGCCAAAAATGAATAATAGTACAAAAAAAAAAGAAAAGTAATCCAAAAAAAATACAAAACCACTCAAAAGAGGCCTGAGTTTCGTCTTCTAATAACATCTGAGCAACAATCTGTAAGCAAGTATTATTATCAATAATCAGGAAGAGACACAATAGCATTTCATAGCGATTTGTCTTGTATATATTATCAGTAATAACAATGTCATGATATTGAGACCATAAAGAAACTTGTAAAGAAGACATCCAGAAAAGTGCAGTCAGCCTGTTTTTTTCACCCTCTATATTAGGTATAACAATCTATTCAGAATTATCTGCTTTTAAAGCTATCAACTGTTGTAGAGCTTCTGGGTTTCGGTCTTCAGTTTCTCACGTGATGGGATTCAAAACCATTGAATAGCATTGTATAAATCTTTCTTGTCAATATATTCACCTGGAAATTTTGCTTTCAAAAGATTATACTGCATCTTGGCGCCTATGCTTTTTGCAGAACGTGTATAAAATTCTATATCTTTCAACATTTCCTTTGACAATTTATGAAAACATGGCACAGTTTGAACAATTATAGGATTCAACTCATGGTTATGCCCATTATTGAATGAAGTACACACTATCTCGACAATGCTCTTATGATTATTGAAATTCACATGCCATTGGCAATTAATTGCTAATGAATAGCGTTCACGCTGTTTAGTGATATCTATATCTTTTTTGGCCTTGTGTACATGTGAGTAAGAACATTTATAGCTACGATGACGAATGCTTGAATGGTCTGTGTGAAAATCATTCCTACTTCATCAAAAAGAAAAACCTTTACATTTTCCATATGATTCCATAAATCTGTTCACATCTTCCCACGCAGTAAATATAAGACCAATATATAATCGCAGGAGACCTTTATTTGATTCATCTTCACTAAGAACATCTTGTGAACTACATAAATTTATTCATTAGTTGTATATTCAAATATATGCAAAAATTTTTCAAACTAAATTGCTAGTTATCATAATTTTGCGCTTCACCTTCTGAACTGATAATTTGATGCTCACAGATGTCTAATGGCAATTCAAATGCTTTATTTTCAAATCTAAAAGTAACCAATAGACATTATTCGCTTTTGATAATCAAACAAGCACTAAAATTTAATAACTATAAAACTAGCATAGACATCAATAACCTTCTAAAGAAAGAAACTAATTAGATGTTATTTTAATACATAGTTACTAAAAACACCAACACTAACCTGAAATCTTGATTCTGTGCCAAACTAAAATCAAATCCAAGTTCCATCATAGAATTGCTTAGCAATATTATAAAAGCAAACCAATTAGAAAATACTCTAATAATATCTACCAAGCTTCTTCACTAACCTTTTAAATTGATAATTCTGCGCAAAATTAAATTCAGCCTCAAGTTCCATCATAGAATTGCTTAATGACATTAAAAACAACTATTAGAAGTTAGTTTAACATGTAGCCAACAAGCTTTCTCACCAACCTTTCAAAATTTTGATGATTTTGCGCAATAATGAAATTGGTCTCATTCTCTATTCTAATATTACTTATGACCATTAAAAGACAACCTATTAACAGTTACTCCAATGTACAGATATGATAATAATTACCAACCTTATGAGACTTTGGTTCCACGCTAAATTGAAGTTAACTTCAGGCCCTTCGATTGAATCACTTTAATCATTAAAAAAGAAGTTAATTAGATGTTATATTAACATTTACTTATAAGAAACGTTTTCACAAACCTTGTAAAACTTTGCATTGTAGTATTACACAGTAAGTTGCTCGCTAATATGATTTTTTCCTATTGTGTACTTTTTATTGAATTGCTATTGATCACCTAACTTCTCTTTTCTACAATGTATACTATCTGCTTATTACTTTATACTTTATGAAGCAATGTTAACAGATTCTTGTCAAGTGTTTTAACAAGCAACCGATGAACTATTTACTCTTAAAAGTATGTTACTTAGTTATTTTTAATTTCTTTGATAACTATCTAACCGGTTCTTTTTATTGCAACAAACTGATTAGTTCTTATTTTCACCAACGAATATCACCAAATCTTGTACAAGCAAAAGAAAAAAAATATCAACAAATCTCGTACGTACGTACAAGCGAAGAAAATTAATCATTATTTGATCACGCTCCTTTATTTATTTACTAACAAAAACAATTACTTCATTATTACAAATCAGGTAGACAATGCATACCAACGATCTGGGTTTTATACTTGCATAAATTATATATATAAAAACAACAGGTAATAATCACCTGTGGTGAACACTAGTTATTTTCTTTTTTTTAATTTTTTTTTAATTGATTTTTTTTAATTTTTTTTTAATTTTTGTTTTTTTTTTATTTTTTAATATATATAAAAGCACAAATATCATATGACTTCACCACTTGACGAGGTTCAAAACTCCAATTCAGTGAAGTTTGAATTAGGCCAATTTTGCAAAATCACGAAAAGGTAAAAATCATGTAACCTTGCTATTTGATCAAAGTTTTAAATCTCTAATCTGATTTAGATTCTAATTTTTAAAAAATAATTACTTATGTGTATTCTGCTTATACAGGGTATATATAAATATGCACGGGTATACACTTTTTGGCTACTTGCATAGGCAAAAAGCATCCTGCTTATAAAAAATTAGTAACAGACAATAGAGTTTTAGTATAGTGTTAACTAGCTCTTAGAACCTGGCGTTGCCTGAATTTGAGGTTTTAATGTTTTACTAATTCTTAGGTTTTTAATTATATTAGCTCTTAGGATATAGCATTGCCCAGATTCAAAGTTTTAATATTTTTCTAATTCTTAGATTTTTAATTATATTAGCTTTTAAAACCCGGTATTGCTCAAGTTCAAGATTCTAATGTTTTTCTAATTCTTAGGTTTTTATTTATATTAGCTCTTAGAACCAGCATTGCCTAAGTTCAAGGTTCTAATATTTTTTAATTCTTAGATTTTTAATTATATTAGCTCTTAGAACCTAGCGTTGTTTAGATTCAAGGCTTTAATGTTTTTCTAATTCTTAGAATTTAATTATATTAGCTCTTAGAATTTAGCATTGCTAGGTTTGAAGTTTTAATATTTTTCTAATTTTTAGATTTTTAATTATATTAGCTCTTAGAACCCAGTATTGTCCGAGTTTGAGATTTTAATATTTTTTTTTAATTTTTGGGTTTTTAATTATATTAGCTTTTAGAATCTGGCATTGCCTGAGTTTGAGGCTTTAATATTTTTTTAATTCTTAGACTTTAATTATATTAGCTCTTAGAATCTAGCATTGTCTAGATTCAAGATTCTAATTTTTTTTTTAATTTTTAGATTTTAATTATATTAGCTTTTAGAACTTGATATTGCCAGGTTTAAGGTTCTAATTTTTTTTTAATTCTTAAATTTTAATTATATTAAATTGTAGGATTTGGCATTGCTTAGAATCAAGGTTCTAATATTATTTTAATTTTTAGATTTTTAATTATATTAGCTTTTAGAACCTAGAATTTTCTGGATTTAAAGTTTTAATATTTTTTTAATTTTTAGATTTTTAATTATATTAGCTTTTAGAACTTAGTATTATCTAGGTTTGAAGTTTTAATATTTATTTAAGTCTTAGATTTTTAATTATATTAGCTTTTAGAACTTGGCATTGTCCAGGATTAATTATTTTATTTATTTTACTTATTTTTATTTTTTTTTTTATTAATATAATATCATAGTAGAAACTTTATTATAATAAACCTATATAAATCTAAAGATTAATGGTCTTTCTGTTACTAAAAAAAACTTGGGTAAGAGGGCAGATAAGTCATCTAACCAGGCTGCCAAATTTTTTCAACTCAGTACTAGCTAATAATAAGAAAATATGAGTTTAGAAAAAATTTTCTATAGTAAAGATTTTTAACTATATTTGTGCTACAGAGCACCCAATATGATATTACACCTCCTATTCCCTATTTAATACTATTATTAATTTAAATGAATAAAGTAATTCTAGCTAAGATAGATTAGAGAAACTTTAAGGTGTTAATCATGATATTATAAAAAGCATGTTGTTAAAAGAAAGCTTGTAAGTACCATTTTTTAATAGTATTGTGTGGATCTATTGGTTGTAAATGAGGTTTATGAAGAGTTGTTTGGTTAGTAAGTAGAGATGTAGAGAATTTAATATGCTTAGTTTTAGATGTAATATTTCAGGCTATTTCCTATTGGTATTGAAAAGAGTTGCATTTAGACTATATATTATAGTAGAACCAATGTAGAAGATTATTAAAAAGATTTATAAGAATAGGTTCTGTTTGTTTTTTAATTAGGGTTTTAGTGTTTTGATATATTGTTTTAGAATATATTTCAAGAATAGTAAAAATAAAAGAGTTGTATTGTGTATTGGAAGAGTTGTTTGTTAATAGTAAAAGAGTATTAAAAAGTGTGATAGGTTGGATAGATATAATTTGGAGTTGTTAGAGTGTATTAGTAGTTATATTAATAAGTGATTGCTAAATGTTTTCAGTATTTTTAAAGCACAGGAGTATATAAAGAGAGTTTTCAGTTAGGAGGCATTTACAACATTTATTTGTTGTATATAGATTTGGATAGTAAATATTAAGATTTTGCATTGTTGGAAGATTATTTGTTAGAATTTTAATATAAAGGAATATTTATAAGAGTTATATTTTAGAGAGTTAAGTAATTTAAAAGTTAGATTCTAATTTATATCTAATATGTAGTTGTTAAAGAGTTTAAAAGATG